CTTTCTGAATATTTAAATTTAAGAACACTCAAAAATATGCATCAGGTTAACTGAAAAGTTTAGGTAAATTATGGAAGATGCTAAGTGATGTAATTTAATGTCTCATCAACAAAAGTGAGTAAATGTTTCTGTATTTCTTTTTTTTATAATGTAATTATTATTTATATTTCAGTTTGGGATTAATTTATGTATCATATATTTTATATAAAAAACTATTAGAAATTAATTTATATATGATAAATAATAGAAGGTTATGGATTTAACTATATTCTTTTTATTTTTTAACATTTCTATAGTCACGTGTGTTGGATTGGGAGAGGAGTATTTCTTTCAGGAAAGATATCTGAAAAAATCCAGGGAGCTGGTTTATATTTTGGTAAGATTCACGAGCAGCACTCTCAAGAATTTTCCATTACTTCCTCTTTTAATAAGTGTGGCATTCTTTAGATTGAAGTCATGGTTGAATTTATTTCTATGTATGACTAATTTTTCAGTCAGCCTGCTGTATATTTATGAATGTTCTTAAATTTTAAAATTTTGAAAAACTAACATTTTTACTTTTGTTTATAAAATCCTAACATTTACCTTGATAAAGCTGATCATAAGATGAAATGCATTGGCTAACATAAGTTTTCCTTTTGTCTTTATTCACACACACACATACACACAAATACATATATAGTAGATCATTATTCAAACATATATTGTTAATTATCACAGCAAACGAATATCTATTATGTTTTATCATGAGCCTTTCCAAATGTTGTATACTGGTTTTAGTTTCAAGAGAAAATAAAGGCAAAAACTGTTCAATATTTGGATATTTCTTTATTGGTCATCAATCTAAGCTTTTGGCCCACATGAACCATCATCAGAGTGGTCATATGGACAATACAACAGAAATGTTCACCATCAAAGATGACATACTGTTTTGTTTACATAGAAGTTTGCTGTCCAATGATAATGGTTGTGGAATATCAGACATAGGTTGTAAATTCGTAATGCAGTTCTGTGACATCGTACATGACCATGTGAGAGAAAGAAATGTTATCAACAGCACTAATATGTTTAAATGCATTGTCATATGTTGTGACTGGTTTGAAATGTAATTTTGTTGAGTAAGGGTTGCTTTGTTTTAATGTAGATTGCCTCCAATATCTAAAGGTTCTTTTTACTGTGAGTATGTGTGAGTGTTGTTGTGTTAACAACTAATATCTTTTATTGGTGTGAGGAACCGGGCCCCAAAATTTATAAAAGTATTTTTGATACATCCTGTACATACATATATATATATATATATATATATATATATATATATATATATATGTATTAATACAGATAAAATTTGTCACTTAGGTGATTGATGTTATATTCAACACCTTGATTCCAGATGAACATTTTTGTAATCATTTGCTCCGCTTGTCATGTTTCAGCAAGGAGACATGTACCTAGTTCAAGTGACCACTAGAAACATTTTTTATTTAAAGTATATACAAATGCATTGGTTGTCTTAGCCAATCAACATCATCTTTACAAATAGTGTCTTGACTGTGTGTCAACCAATCAGCATTGTTTTTACAAAATGATATTATACACCACACATGACATAAGTAACCAGCATTAATAAAGATCTACTTATTGAGAATTTTCATTTTACTCTAAAAATTCAAGAGAAATAATAACAGAAGCATTTCAAAATACTCCAGGAGCAAGAAATATTACTACTTAATCCAAGAGTGAAATGAGTCAATATTAAATTGAGGTTTCCTCTTTGAATTGTGTGACCATGTTATTGTACACTTAACTAATGAAAGAAATGAAACTTGTATTTCATTCAAATCAAGCTAGTTCATCATCTTTGTATAATGTGATGGATAATTGTTAATCCTCACCAGAAGTGGCAAAATATACCAAAGGTTGGCAGGATTGTATTAGGATCAGAAATCATTCTGGTAGAGCAGGCAACAGAAAGCCACTTCTTAAACCAGTCAACATTCAGCTGAGAAAGTAGTGACTAATTTGGAATATTGATGGACAATTATATTTTCATAGAGGTCTTTATTTTTCTGTAGTGATATCAATGTCAGCTTGTTAAATAGAAAAAATCTGAGCTGTCACAAAAATGGTTTCAGACATTTATTTGCTCTGATGATTATCAGCTAAGTGAAGTGGACTTCACAAGTGCTATGGCAAGCAGCCCTGACAAAGAGAGTTATTGAATGAGGACAAATTACTTTTTTAGACAAAGATGACAAGACAGTGGTCACTACCAGCAGAAAAGCACAGAGACCAAGAGGACAAGAAGATTGCCTCCCAGCAATGCAAGAAGGAAGATGCCCGTTAGATTGTTCATCTCCCTTGTCTATAGAACTAGGTTACAACTAGAGAATAAAATTTGCTTACTGCTATAAAAGTCTTACGGTTTTAATTCATGGGTGATGATCTGGCCAAAGGGTTATTTTCAAGCCACAAGTGTTTGACAGGAAGATGCTACACCCTGAACCTGGTGTATGCTCTGAAATACAATGCTACATTTCTGACACTGAATGTGAATTGATCTAGTTTGCCAAATCAAGAATTTTACCAACCACCTGCAACAAAGAAAAATGGATTTGCAGTAATGATGTGGGGGGAGCAATATGGTTATTACCAGATTGATCATGAACCATCACTTTAGACAAATACCTATCCACTTTGCAACAATTCATAATCTTTTCTGATGATTATTTAAATATAATGGCAATCTGATGCTCCCCTATGCCATACAAAAACATTTAAGATTGGCTAATCCAAAATAGATATCAAGCAAGTCTTGTAGCCTAATCTGTCATCTCATGCAAATTACACTAAATATATTAGGAAAATCAATTATAAAATAAGGAAAATATGGTCAAAACATTTTTTCCATAAAATATTTCCTATATGTGTTGAATATGGTCTGATCATATGAGAGAAAATAATAAATTTTATTCTAGAAAAACATGAAACTTTAAAACTACTTCAAGGAAAGTATAACCTTGGTTGGTATTTATTCTTCAGTGTAAAATAATCAGCTGGAGTACAAGGTCATTAGCTATTGCAAAAGATAACACTTCTATTTCTTAGTCAAGCTACACACATCAGGCATACCTCTGGGGAGGTATTGTTTGGAAGATGGATTCTCAATCTGTTATTTTTGGCCTATGTGTACAATACATTATTTAGCAATAACTGTATCTATGTATATACACATTATTGCAGTGCAATGTAATTCATCATACAATTAATACTTAAATGGAAGTAATCAAATTCTTATACCAGGTTTTTTTTTTTAATGTAAATTTAATTATGACTTGTTTTGTCTTAACGCAGCCGAGTTTGTTTTTTTTAATTGAACATCGAATTAACAACCAATTAATTGGGCATATTGCTTGTTAAACAATACTGTTTGTTAAATTTAAATGTAAAAGTTGACTTAAAAAAATTAACCAACACTTTTTTAAGCAAGAAGCGGGGGTAAACAATCTTTATAATTTAAAAAAAAAAAAAAAAAAAAAAAAAAAAATCAAAAAAAAAATCAATATCTTCGATTATATAAGAAAAAAAAAACGAAAGGAAAAAAAAAAACAAAGTTATTTTTAGTCAACCAGCCACGTAATCGCTGGAATTACACAGCAAAAAAAGACAACTACCAAGAACAAAGACTTATATTTCAATTTTCATTTAACATTTGCGAGTTTTATACGACTTGGCAAAAAGCACGTGTTTGTTCCGGACGAAAACAACTTAAAAAAAAAAAATCAAAACAAAATAAGAAAAAAATCAACAATAAAATTCGCCCCGAAAAAGTCAAAGACGAAAAAGTAAGAAAAAAGCCGAGTCACGAGATGCGGATAGAGTTTGGCTCGTCCAATTTCGACGAACAAAGGAAGAAGCCATCGCCGACATGTTTGTGCTTTACTGCTACTAGAGAAGCAAGGAACAATAACACTTCTCACGATAGTACGCTCAAAAAGAAAAGGAATACACAGAGCATTTCAATGTTTCGTGCCACACCATTAGTCTCAAATAAGACTCATGCAATGGATTTAATCAAAGACATGCGATTCGATCGAAAAATCGAGAAATAATCATTTTGATTTTTGAGAAGCTTCCACCGGCTGTATCCCGGTCCCTTGAAACTATTGTAGACTGCCCGATACTCTACTGCAGCGAGAAGTCCGCAAGGGAGATAACTTCATGACGCTCTCGTAGAAAAAAAGGTGTTAAAGTGATCGGCTTTTGCCGAGTCATTTGCATAACTGTCAATCATCTCAAAGTGCAGCCAATCAGCGCTGCCGACGCGCTTAGCAAGCTCCACCTCTGGCTCCAGTAGAAATGGTAGATGACATGTGCAGGAAATCGAAATAAATCTACAAAATTCAAAATGATACGAAAATCGGTTGAAATTACCATCGAGAGGTAGAGCAATGCTTCGATTCTCGGAATCAATATTGATTATTTATCTTGGTGGAGGGGCAGGACGATCGGAAGCCCTAAACGAACCCCTCCCCTAAACCAACGAGGAGAACTAACATCTTCTTGTCTAAAGTGTTATTATAGGTTAACTGTGACCTCTTCTCTTCTTTGTATACCGACATTAGAGGTAGAAAGAAGCAAGATCGGTTCAGATCGACGTCAGAGTCTTTTCTCGGCAGAAAATCTGGAATTTTTGTCTTTACTTGGAAACCTGCTGGCCAGGAATTTTGAAGGAAAAAAAGAAGGAAGGGCCGAAGAGTGGGTCGGCCTTTTTTTTTTATTTTTTTTTTTTTTTTTAAGACCCAGTCTTTGAGGACCGCAAAAGAAAGTTGACTTCGTTTTTCCCTCCAAAAATACATCTTCCTTTTATTTATTTATTTATTCCTTGTTTTTCTTTCCTTACCTTGTCTTACCTTTTTTTTCCTTATGTAAAACCAAACAAAACAAAAATTAAAAAAAAAAAAAAAAAATTCTTGAGGAGACAAAATAACCCTGAATCAAAAATGCCGCTTTTGAGAAGACAACCTTTTCAGAAACAAAAACCTCCGCCTGACTTGGATCCGGACGAAGAAGTTTTCCATTGTAAATTAACAAATGAAATATTTCGAGACTATGAGTAAGTTTTGTCTTCCTTTCAATTTATTTCTTTTTATTTTCTTGTATTTTACTTCGTTTTTCTTTTTATGAAAGAAAAATCCCCCCTTTTTATTTTTAACTTTTTTTTTTTTTTTTTCTATTCATTTTTTCCCTTGAATCCAACTTTCCTTTTTTTTTTTTTTTTTTTTCATTAATAAAAATTACAAACGTAAACTAAAAAAAAAAAAATGCTTATTTTTACAATAAGTCAGTTTTTCTTCCTTCCGTAACTTTTCTGTGTTTGAAACATTTCTTTAATTTTTTTTTTTTTTTTTTTTTTTTAAATACAATTTTATTTAACACAATTTACTAAAATATTCACTTTTTATTTGTTTTTTATTCATTCAGTGTTTAAAAACGAAGGTTAAAATATAAATTTCTCAGAATTTAAATCCCGAACTCTTCTTTTACATTTCCGCTTTTAACTCCTATTTAAATTTACTTAAAGCATTTTCCTCATACTTTCTTGATTGTTTTCATCTTTGTCAATTTTCGTATATATATATATATATATATATATAATATAATATAATATATATATATATATATATATATATATATATATAACACACACAAACAGATAATCTTGTTCACTACTATGGTTCAATATTGCATGACCCATGTCGATGTTAACTCCCCCAATCAATCATCCCATTTACAGATCATGTCTCCTTTTTTTTTACTCTCTCCCTTTTTATTTCTTTTAAAATACATAAGAAATAATAATTCAGAAACTAAAATCGTTTATTTACTGAATCACATTTTTTTTTACCCTATTTCATATCTAACTCACTTTTATTTGTTCGGTGGTATTTAATAAGGCTCTAAAAAAGTTTCCGATGGTTCGCTATATGAGACTTGCTAAGAAAGATTAGTTCTGTTCTGTATCTGTTAGTTATTTGACCCTCGCAGATATCTGTGTGCCATCAGTCTGATATTCAATTAAATGATAATTCTAAAGATTATCCAATTTTCTTTTTTAGGTTGCTTTGAATGAGTTTATTATTTTTTTTTTTTTTTCCTGACTGGTTCGTAACCGTTTCATACGAGAAAAAAAAAATTACAGTAATTATACCCCCTACACACACCATATTTTTTTTTTTTTTTTTTTTTAATTTTTAAAATTAGGAAATATTTTCATAAAAAAAAATACCCCCCTCAAAAAGGCCAAGATTTTTGCTATTTTTATTGTCGGTTCAATGGCGGCCGTTCACAGCCGCTTCTGTGCCACACTGAAAAATCTTCACCGATAAATAATAATAACACTTAAAATTATTTTTTAATAATATTTTTAAGTATTTTTTCCGGCAAATAAAATACGAAACATCTTTTCAGAAATCATGGTAAAATCTACTCATTAATAATGAAAACAGGAATTTTAGTTTCGAGTCTTAATTTACATTATTAAGCTTTTTTTTAATTGGAACTTTTAAAATAATCCCATGAATATCGAAACCCAACCTCTTGATTTTTAAAAATTAATAAAAAAAAAATCAAAAATAATCACCATCTTCACTCTAAAAACAAAGGGGGGTAAAAATCTGGTTTGTATAGCGATCATCCCTTGTTAGTTTGTATTTAAATATCTTTATATTTAATTATTGGATGAAATAATCAATCAATAAGTCTTTTTTTAAAAAAAAAAAAAAAAAAAAATGAACGTATTTAAATGGGAGAATATTTCTTTTTTGAACAATATTGGGTGATTGAATGGCAGATTCGGAATTTCTGGGTAGGGGCATGACCCTGCCATGAAAAAAAAATTGCTCTTGAAGAATTTTTAAAATAACATTTCCATTGTTTTTTTTTGTTTTCTTTTTTTTTCTCACCTCGGGGATCGAACCCTGAACTTTGGTATTTACTACTTTTGATACATTTTTTACTCTATTTTATTTTAAAAAGTTCTAGGTTTGCTCCTTTAAGGAATTGGGGCTTTTCTGATTACTAACTGTTATTTATTTACCAAAATCTTGCTGTTTTTTTTGTTTTGTTTTTTTTTGTTTTGTTTGTTTTTTGTTTTCTCTCTCTTTTTCTTTCCTACTTTCAAAATTCTTTTTCAATAGGGGCCACATTTAGGTAAAAATGATATTTTACAATCTTATTCTTAAGAGTAAATGTAATTTCTATTAATGGCAAATATTTTTTATTGTGTAATAATTCCTTCTGGTTTCTATGAGAAAGTGGAAAATAATTTTGGTCTGACTCAACCTTCATCAAGGAATGACTAAGTTCTGCTTTGAAACCATAAAAAACTGACAAGTCTTTTTTTTTTTTTTTTTTTTTTTTTAAATCACTTATTTGAAAATTTAGACTAGTTTTTAATTTTTAGGGTTTAATTTTGATATATGTATTAATTAGTACAGGTATGATTATCCTTAAATAAAAAAAGGTATTGATCCTCCCACATTTAAAATTATCAATTTAACTTAAAATGTTAACAGATTAGCTTATATTAATTTGGGCTCCACTGGAAGATCTAATAATTTTTGACTTTTTTAAATTTTAAGGATGGTCATCTTGCTCATAATGAAGCACTTTTTAAAATAAATTTTCTTGTTCAAAAGATCCTGTATCAGTATATTTCATTATCCACTTTTATTTAAAAACTAATAACTTTGTTTATCCTTTGAGTTTGTTTCACTTCTCCCCCCATTGACCAGCCAGTCCTATACCTGTCTGTACAAAAAAAAAACTGAATTGGGATGGTTTACTTCTAGTTTAAATGTCCCTTTTTTGTGGGGGTAGGTGGCCTTATTTTCACTTTGCACGTGTTAAACTCCAGGATTACTATTATTATTATTTTAAATCGAATCTCTTCATTGTCTTTATGTTCGTTATTTTTATATAGAATTCGATCCCAAAACATTGTTTCCTGTCGGAATTGGTCGTCTTTTAAATTACCGCAAAAAATTAAACGTGATGTAATAATTGTAGAAATAATCCGTTAGAGAAAGAAGTGTTTTTTAGTTTGGGGGGGTATTTAATTTTATTTTTAATACTCACTTCTTTTTTTCTAGTATTTAAAAATATAGATTTTGGTTTATTGACAGAAAATAAGGTGTAGCTTTTAGTTTTATTTTATGAAAACTTAAAGACTGACGGTAATATAGGAATGGAGTCGAGTCCTTTCTGCCTTGAATCAAGCATGGGGAAAGGAAATGTGTTTGATCACGTGACCACCTTATCGACTGGTTTCGGGGGTGGGTATTCCCCCCGCCCTCTCTCCAGTAATGCAAAATTTATCCCACTTAGTTTTCCCGTGCTTTCTTCACAAAAAGAAAGACTTGAGTTATTTCTAAATGCTTGTCTAAGAAGACTTAGCCTCGCAATATGTTGCACATTAGTGTGTGTGTAGGGGGGGAGGGGCAAGCTTAAAACAATAGAACCCCTCACCCACACTCCCTTCAAATTATTGAAGTTTGATCTGTAAGAATATTTTTAAACTGCGATATTCCGAAGATCGAGAGATTTTAAAGTAAATTAAAAATTTTCTTGGGAGTTTGACTTTTTAAAACCGTCACATCTGCACATGGCCGGCAAATAAAGAAAAGTCGACTGGATATTTGTTTCCTTCTCTTTGGTAATTTGTAATAATTTGTAATCATGTCACTTAGTTTTTTAAGCTTAGAATTATTTTTAAAGATTTTTTTTTTCTTTCTTTTGTTGCCGGCTTTTAAAAAGAACCAATGAATATTAAAAATATAGCTATTTTTCTTTTCTGTATCGTGTAATTAATCAATGAATGAATTTGTTTTTTTTTTTTTTCCTGGTTTTGCTTTCTTTCTCGATTCAAGAAGGAACAAGTTTTTCTCTTTTGTTCGAGGAAGCATGATTGACCCAATTTTTATTACCTTTTTTTAATTCTACGGAAGCCCACATTTGATTTAGATATTAAAAGTTACTTTTAACGTTTTTCTTTTTCTCTATCTCTCTTGTAAAGTGAAAGAAGGCATGTCCCGTAACTTTTTCCCCCTCAAACTTGTAAAAATGTTTTAAACTTGGTGTCATTTTTACTGTAATTAGATTAAATAGCACTTTAGTCTTATTAAATTTTTTAAAAAATTTTATTTAATCCAGTTACCGATATATTTCGCTTGTTTGTTTTTTTTGTTTTTGTTTGTTTTTTTTTTTTTTTTTTTTTAACCACTAGTTCAATTGTCCATCCGTAGTTGTAAAATGTTTCAATCGACTTAGTTTTTTATGTCCTGTATCGCATTGAATCATAAATATTTAAAAACTTATTTCGTTTTGTTTGCTTGGTGAGTTGAATTTACGTACATACATTCAATTTTTTCCCTCTCCCCAATCATCATTTACCTTAAGGTTTGGAATTGTTTTCGTCAACCATCTCCACTGTCAATGCATTATTAAATGTGCGCTTTATGAAAATCAAGAGACGAGACTAGAATTTTTGACTCAACAATCAAGAAGCAATGATGGAATATTCAAAGGACGATTTGTGACTGCTGCTTTCTTTTAAGAAAAAAAAAAGGGAAATCTTATTTGTGACGTCGATGCTCCGGGCTTGTGTGAGTCGGGGGGGGGCACGCACACACGTGTGTGTGTTACTGTTATTGGTTCCATGTAAAGTAAAAGAAAACGCTTGATTATTCCTATGATTAAATTGGTGGAGATGACGAATAGGCTCTTCTTTTGAATTTCAAGCAAGGATTCTTTCGTGTGTGTTTTTTTGTTTTTTTTCCCCAATTTAAATGCCTTTTTAAAATTCGTCTTTTAGAGACGAACAAAGACTACAGACAGATTATCCAAATAAAATCGATTATCGATTCAAACGTTTTTAAATCTTCGCAAAATAGCTTTTTCTTTTTTTTTTTTTTTTTTTTTTTTTTTTTTTGTTGTCCGGCGATCTGTTCATTCGAGAATTCACGTTTTAGTTTCGTTTTCATTGTTTGCAATTTTTCTATTTTATAACAAATAAAATTACGGAGAATTAATTATAAATAAAATGGTAATTAACTT